TGCCGAATCCGCTTTCCGCGATCTTTCTTTCGAAGAAAAGAAAACCCTCTTCACCGGTCTCTTTCATCTCGTTTTCCGACGGTGTCTCGGAAACAATCATCGTTGGACGAAGCAGCCCTCTCTGCCCGCAAGAAATTTACGCTTCGTCCTCGAAAGAGGTCCAATCCAGAACCGTGTACGTTCTTTCCATAACTTTGCACAACTTGACGTCAATCGTGGACCAAAGGACTCGTGGCTCGCGAACTTGACCGATCTAGGTGGGCTCGTTGAAAACTCATTGAAAGTTTTCGCTAATATTTTATCTCATACCAGCAGAAGAAACTTCTGCGAGTTAAAATTGGAAATTTAAATCTCGAAATATACGTGAAATTGAAATTGGAAAAATTTGTTTACTTTCTCTTGCGTGATTTTCTTCGGCCTTCCTCTGCGCGTGTGCGTGTGCGTGTGCGTGCGTGCGTGCGTGCGTGCGTGCGTGCGTGTTCCCAACACCGCCGAGTCGAAATTATTCGCGAAATTATACACGATACGTGCGACTCTGATTTTGTATCGAGAATACGTCTCTCAATATATCAGTAGAACAAATACAACAAAAAAGAGATGCAACATCATTGCAAAGAGTCAATCGGTGAAAAGACGAAGCAGTTAAACGCTTGGAATACTTTCGAAACAGTGACGTTTCCATCTGGTTCATCCGGATCTGTAGAATCAGAGGTCGCACGGTACGAGGGGTACGCGAATCTAAAAGAAGGGCACGACGCGTTGTTTGTCGATAACAGGCTCCTATGGTCCTTGCCGCCCGGCGAGTTGCTTCGTCGTGACGAGAACGTGTTGATAGCGAGAGCCACGGTGGCCTTTCATCGAGGCGCTTACCACGAGCTGTACTCCATCCTGGAGAGCCATCCTTTCTCACCCGATCGACACCCAGAGCTGCAGCAGATGTGGTTCAAGTCGCATTACAGCGAGGCGGAGAAGATCCGCGGCAGGCCGCTCGGCGCGGTGGACAAATACCGGCTGCGGAAGAAGTATCCGCTGCCGAAGACGATTTGGGACGGCGAGGAGGTGGTGTATTGCTTCAAGGAACGATCGAGGAACGCGTTGAAGCAATGCTACATGAGGACCAAGTATCCGCTCTCCGAGGAGAAGAAGAACTTGGCGAAGGAGACCGGCCTGACTTTGACGCAGGTGGCCAACTGGTTCAAGAATCGACGGCAAAGGGATCGCACGCCGCAAACGAGACCGTAAGTCAGTCAGTCAGTCAGTGAGCTCTCCTTTTTGTCGTCTCTCTCTCTCT